GAACAAACTGAGACAGACTAAATCCAGAAGAACTGTGGCAACGTCTCAAAGATGCTTCAAGAACCCTACCTGCAAAGCTACCTGAAAAACTATGCGCAAGTGCAACTAGGGCAAAAGCTGTTTTAAACACAAAGAGTGGTCACACCAAATGTTGACTTGATTTAGTAAATATAAGTTAATTGATAAATAAAATCTATTTATGACATTATTTTTGAAAACATCCTCACTTTACAGCATTTTTACAAAAGTGCCTAAAACTTTTCACAGTACTGTAGCTTTGCAGGTAGGTTTCTTCAAGCGTCTTGGAGACATTGCCAGTGTTCTTCTGGATTTAGTCTGTTTTTTCTGTTTCTTCAAAAGATAGAAATAACGCTTAAAACCATTTTTTTTGTTGGTAAAAATACTAACGGCCTAAGACTTTTGCACGGTACTGTATATAAACAAGTATTATATTGAAATTTATAGGAATTACGAAAAAACCTAAAACAGTATTTTTATGTACAATTTTTTGCTATCGATGCAAAGTGTATAGTTTTATTTTTTTGTTGTTTAATTAATCTCTTGTTAAATTAATTAATGACCTAACTGTGAGATTGAATTTTAAAGGAATGCCCTTAATGAGCAAGAAAAGATTGTGTCAGGATTGTTCTTCCTCTGTGCAGAATGAAGTGCCTCAGCTGGTGGGAGAGATCTACCAGAACTTCTTTGTGGAGAGCAGGGAGATCCCGGTGGAGAAGCCTCTTTATAAAGAGATCCAGCAGACGTTGGTGGGGAACAAGGGTACAGACGTGTTCCACAGGATCCAGGGAGATGTGTACGAGACCATGAAGGAGCGCTATTACCCATCCTTCCTGGTGAGCGACCTGTACGAGCGGCTCATTAAACGAGAGGAGCAAAGGAGCAGCTCACAGTCCAGCAGCGAGGAGAAAGACGACGCCGTGAGTTTTACACGACATGAGCCTGGCTTCTACATCCAATCACTCCGTCGCCATTTTCTGTGACTTTCCTCTTGTATTTATGTGCGTTTAGGGTCAGGTGATGGAAGGAGGGGATGTGGCCCTGGATGAGGGCAGCAAAGGCATCAACGAACAGGCCAGTTACGCCGCCACCAAACTACACCAGCTGTATGAGAGACTGGAGTACAAACGCCAAGCCTTGGGCTCTATCCAGAATGCACCGCGACCTGATAAAAAGGTACACCCAGAATTATAGCCCCATTAATGTGAAATATTATCCTTCTATTTGAAATAATAATAAATAAATAAAGACTGAAAACCAGGGGTTGTGCATCAGACTATAATGTTTCCCACACATAGACTTTACTTGGACAGGCCGCCCAAGTATATTTAGAGAAACATTTTTGCTTTTATTATTTTTATCCTCTTATATATATTTTTTTTTTATCCACCTGAAATAATTAAACCATCTGTGATCGATTAACTAGTGGAAAATCTCCCCTCGCCCTACACGTTTCGTACCTGCTCGTCCTGTGCAAATTAATAGCACTTTATTTTCCATAACTTTGAACTCATTTTTCATTTGCTAAATAAACGAGTAAAGCATGGTATAGAGAATATTTGTTTCAGTTTAGACTATTCTGTGTTAGCACATAAATATATATTATATTGGTATGTCTGTACTAATGGATGTGAAATACATCCCCCCCCCCCCCCCTTCTTCCAAAAAAA